CAATCGATAACCAACATTGCACTGGTATCTTTCAAGTGAAGAACCAATTTTTCCATGACCTTTTAGAAATAATTGTTCCCTTCCAATCTGCAAAAATACTCAATCTTTGCAGCCAAAATCTCTTCCGGATACTCAACTAAAATGCTTTTATTTATTCCCATCAACTCACCAACCTCCCCCATCTCAAAACCCAAGTCATAAAAGACCCGAATTTTCCTGCAAACCTCAAACATAGCATCCACACAATTTGCCAAGCCATAATCAACAAAAATGATTTTCAAATTGTCTAGCAACCCACACATCTCACCATACAAAACATGAGGAAAAGCCAAGCATATCCCAATGACATCAACACTACTAATCGCTGAACAGCTCGCAGGTTAATTAAAATTCCCTCTTCCAATCTAATTTTCTTTCCTGATCTTTTCTCTTAATTTGAGTTTTCGAGATCTGATTCTCTCTCTTTATCTATATTATATTCCATTTCTGCAACCAAAGTCGAGAAGTATGAAAATAATTCACAAACTGATAGTATGCAGGAACTATCTAAATTTCCAAACTTCACCAGGACAAGGAAAAAATGCGGTAGTTTGTTTGAAATTTATAACAGAATTGATACAAGAGTAAATAAATAATTGCATAATGTTCATCTCAATCAGAAATCGAGAACTTTTTGGTGTAATATTCATCACTCATCAGCCCATTGTGAATCAAAGGCATCAGACCATAATACCGTAATCAATCAATTTCATGTAACCTTGTAAGTCAAATGTTTGACATATTTTAGAAACTTTTATATGGCTTCAACTCTAAGGCCAACAACCACAAAAGAAGTGAGGCACAAATAGATTATAACATAGATATAATCAACAAACAAAAATAAGGTATCAACGGGTGAAGGGGAGCTAGGAACTTCGTTTTGCTTAGTAGAATTTAAGCCAATGCTTTCGAAGAAAAAGTCGACTTCGTTAATGGGGTGATACCTGAGAAAGCGCCGAAAGGACTTGGGGAAAGTGGAGGGGGAGAAAGGAACCTAAGCAACGACACTGGAGAGGGAATGAGGGAAATTGTTGGCAATGTGGACAGCATAAGGGAAGGGTATGGAGCAGGTGGTGTGGAGGTAGTCCGCCAGTTGCTTCTGGGCTTCTTGTATGACTTGGAGCCTGTGCTTCCAAGGGATTCTTGAGAAGGGTTTGGGGAGTCTTGAGGGCTGAATATGAAGTGGGTTTTCTGGAAATTGCGGAGTGGAGCTCCGCACTATGCAGAGTGAATGCTCTGCACAATGTGTGGAGTATACTCCACGCGCAGTGCGGAGGGATGCTCCTCACAATGTGCGGAGTGGAGGCATCAACTCGGCACTGTGCGGAGTGAATGCTCCGCACAGTTCGGACAAATTTTATTTTTTTTCCGAGTTTCAAAGTCAACAATTGTGGGTATGAGTATAAGAAATTTCATATTACCCTTAAAATTTGGATGAATAGTGGAGAATGAATATGGATAAAATGGGATACAAAAAAGCTCACAAATCAACACTAAACTGTTGATTTATTATATTTTAACACTACAGACACAAAAAATAAAAAAAAGGAAACTATTCACAAACCAGTTTGAAAGAGGTCAAGTGTGAAAACTAATATGACAAAAATGAACAGTGACTCAAGATTCCCTCTTTTAAGATATAATATAAATAACTAGTCATACGCCGGTACAATGTACGGGCTTTGGTATTTTAAAGGTAATATTAGCGTATCAAATATTAATGGTATTGTGAGACGTTAGTAATTTTTTATCTAGCATAATAATTAGTAAAATTTGATAATGATAATATTCTAATAAGATTGAAATGAAGAATTTTTGGTAGCCAAAATTTGTTCTAAGGACGAAATTAATAGGGATAATATAAATCATTTCTAAGCTTGCCAACGTTTCAAAATACTTATAATACACACTGAATAAGGAAGAAAGTTTAATGAAAAATAAAAAACGAAAATATTATCTAATAATATTAACCACTCTAACTTTACAACAGTTTTTATTTTGACGAGACATGCAAATGGTGAAGAAAACATCTCATCAAATATTTCGAAGCAACGCCCGAATGTGATCGAACCGGTCATGTCGTAGGGGTTCGGGGGCAACACCCCTCAAGGGAATCGACCTACCCGGTCAGTTCGAGGGGGCAGCTCCCCTCGTGAGGGTTCGGGGGTAACGCCCCCGACGAGGATTGACCTGTCTTATACTTGGCAATTGGGGATAGCGGCTTACCGGAGCATTATGTCCACTCCAACTTAAATATGCCTTCCAGCAAAAGTCATGGGGTATTGAATTGAATGCTACTCAGAACAACATACACTTACAAGAGTACTCTCTCTGTTTTTTTACAAGCAATGACATACAATTCAACTAGCGTTCCATTAATTTCATAACCTTCGCTTATCCTTCCATACTTGTCAGAGTATAACAGGGCACGCACCACTGACCACGACCATGTCCAATTTGCAC